GGGGGGGTGAGGTTGTCTTTGTGTTTTTTTTTTTTTTTTTTTTACATTTATATTACAAAATCGTTATGATGACATAGGTGAGGACAGTAGTTTCTTCATGATGTGCTGGCCGACACCAGAGTTCGTTGAATCAGTCAAGATTGATTTCACTTCGTTCAGCTCATTTTAGCAAACACTTTAATTTAATAAACCAATGTCATTGGGATTCGTTCAACTAGAGTGAAGAACGGTTTTGTGAAAAGGTATAAAACTAAACAATCAGTCAAAACTCTCTTAATCTTAAACTACTTTCTATCTCAGCTGCTGTGGTTCTACTGCGTGCAGTTCAATAGGTTTCATTTACAGTTCAACTGTCGTCCAGTCCTGCTGTCAAACTACTGCTCTGTTTAACTCGTTAAATGGTTTGTTTTGCTTTTTAAATTCAGCTTTGAATACATGTTCAATGGGAATGAAAACTCTGTTCTGTGCAATACAGTTCTTTAAAAGGGTCGTGTGTTTTTTCCACACTAGTTAATAGTACTGTGTTTATGACATGTTGCGTTAATAGAATTCAGTTCAATTTTATTTATTGAGCACATTTCATACACAAGGCAAACTTAATGTGCTTTACAGTGGTTTAAACCATTAAACTATCAGGAGCACAGGAAACAAAGAAAAAGCAAGAAGCGGTAACAGTGTTAAGCGCCCCCTGCCCTTATGGAATAAGGGATAATAATAAAATGAGAAGTGAATATATGTATTAAATCTTAAAGGGATGGCCATATTTGTCTAACATCCATAAGAATGTCCTATATTTCTAATGAAAATTTTCAATAAACCTAATACATCCAGTGTTTCTGCCAAAATAGCACAATAAAGATGTTGGATGCTTGGCACTGAGTTGACAACAGACCTAAATAAATAAAGCACTCCTCATTTAATTCTATTTTTTAAATTGTTGTTAAATGAAAACCTTTTTTTTCAAGGCCCGGACAGAATATCTGAGGAGGAAAGTCAGAGGTTCTTTCCAGTCAGAAGGGGAAAAAAGAAATGATGATGATGAAGGTCCAGGTGGAGAACTCCAGCATCTGAATTTGTTCCCCCTAGAGGAATCCTCACTGAAGGGGAATGAGGAATATCTGAAGGAAAAGAAAGAGGAGAAGGTGATTTATGTTGTCAACATCTACATTCATAACATTTATGGTTAAATGTCTTCAGTCAACAAAATGATATAGTTTAAAAAATATGACTTTCATAAATTGTGGATCTAATATTAAGTGTAGTCAGATTAAAATTAGATTATAGTCAGATGATAGTTAGATTAAAGTATGTTGACTGTATGTGGCCTTTCTTCTCCTCAGTTGCTGTGGGAAAGGGTCATTCATTAGTAATAAAATAACTAAATGTTATTAACTGTGTTCTCATGTTCTTAGGAGAAGCAGGAGCGGGCCATTGGCTTGCTTGTGTCCCTTGGACCACAGCCTGGTTCTGAAATCACCCCGTGGTACCTGAAAACCAATGAAGAGAAAGGAGAAAGGAAAGAAAAGGGAATCAGGAACACTATTAGTGAAGAAGAGCGGGAAAAGAAGGAGCGAAAGTTAAAGGACAGTCTAGACCCGTTGAAAGTTATGAAGAAAGCTCTAGCTGTGAAAGACAGGATGGAACACAGGAGCAGGAAAGGAGAGAAGAGAAACAGAGGGGAGAAGAGGACGAGCTGTGGAGAGAGGTGATGAGAGCATGTTCTGATTGGTCAATTCAGATTTCAATTTATTTGCTAATTACCTTTTTCTTCAATTGACAGCATACACAAAAGGTAAATTTAAAACCAAACAACCAGTTGTTAATTAGTAATGAAATGTAATTAGGTTTGAACACCAACATGAAACCTATCTGGACAACATTTGGTATTGATCTGTTGTTGTAAACAAGCCATCCGAAGATTTTTTTGTGCTGATCTGGGTTTTTGTCTTCCTCGTCAATATTACGTCAGGCAACTTCATATCATCACTTGTTGTAACCGTGTGATGATGTTGGTTTGGTCCAATGAAGTGTGAAACCAATAAAGGTGTTAATTTTTTCGCTCTATTTCCCTGGACCAGGAACCAGGATTCACAGTAATAATGTAGTGAACATTATAATGGATAACAAAATATTTCATATGTCAATTCTCAGCTCTATGGAGAAGTTGCGTGCTGAGCGTTTGCAGAGGGAGGCTGAGGAGAGGAGGCGAGCTAAGGCCCTGCTAGACCAGAGAAGTGGCAAAGGAAAGGAGACGGTGAAGGAGCTGAACGACAGGGAGCGACCGTACAACAGTGCCTACTTCCCTCAACTCGCCCGGAAAAGACAAAGACGAGATCAAGACAGTTGGAGGGATGAGATATTAAAATCATGAGCTCTGTTTGAAGACTAATAGGTGACCATGTTTAACACACACACACACACACACACACTCACACTTTGAAACAATGAAGACAGCGGTCTTCAGAAGGTTCGTTTCTGCCCCTCAGTGGTGGTTGTTGTCACAGAAGGGCAGATGGTCGAAGGGTCCAGAGCCCAGGTTGTTGGTGCTTGAAAAACTGGAATGTGTTTAAATAAAAGTTGATAAGAATGATTTTTTTCTTTTTTGTTAATCCTTAGGAGTGGTTGGTAGAAAAATTCCTTATCAGTGATTTGAAACACTAAAATCAGCCAGTCTTGGTTGGAGAACGTTGACTAAAGACATATTTCCTCATTTTAAATCTAGTCCAGTTTCACCACAGTCTTTTGTTGTAGAACAGGTGAAGAAACAAAAACCCCTTTGTGTATTTCTTTATAAATCCACATGGCTTTAAAACTCAATTCACATTGGACTTCATTTAAACTGTTCAAATGTGAAGCTCCCCCTACAGTACAGTACAGTACAGTATTAGAATGACAAGTGTCTCTTTTGGTCTTCTTTACTAACAGAGTCTATTAAAAGCCATACATCAGGGCTACAACTACAGCAGGGAGACTTTGAGACTACAGTAATCCAGGACTTTGCTCCATCAGCTCCTAGTAAAAGCCAAAATGTGTAGACTTATTTTTTTTCCTAAAAATAAAAATTATTTCTCAGTCATTTAATTTAAACACCTCTTCTTAATATTGGAAAATTATCATTTAATTTCACCATAAAATCAACCATGACTTGTTTACTTCCCACTGGGAACATTTTTCTTAAGTGTGATGATGAAGGTGGACATTGATAAGGCGCCGCTTGAGTGTGACGTAGGCTGGCGGAGGAGAAGACACCGAGCAGCCGTCAACACCGTGATGGGAGGAGAAAGGAGGATGAGAGTGTGTTGTTGTTGAGACCGAGGCTTTGATGACACAATGGAGCATCGTCTCACAGACCGGATTACAGCGAGGGGGGAGGAGAAAGACAGGCTGACGAAGAGGAATTGAGCAATACAAGGACGGCGAAGAGACACTTTATCACTTGGAGAAAAGCGGAACGGTGTTGGGGGGCAGAAAAACAAGCAGAGGCAGAGACAGCTCGGACCGTGGCGGGGAGGAGGGGAGAAGGACACGGACGCCGACTGTCGGCAGCGTCGCTCGGATGCTGCTGCGACGATGCGGCCTTACTGCTGGGTGATGGTGGCTTTGGCGGGGTTTATGTCCTACTTCAGCCCGGAGAGAGTCCTCGGAGCCCCGCAAAGGGAAGGTGAGAGGAGGCGGAGGAGGGATATTGTCAATAGCTGTCAGTGATGCTGGATGAGGAAAGGAGGTGATAGAGGGGAGGAGGGCAAGGATGCAGTCAGTAATAAAAAGGCCTGCGTACATCGCGGTTAAAAACCGTGTGTGACCGAGACAAACAGCAGCGGTGACTGGCTGACGGAGAACCCTCCATGTTTGCACGCAGTCATTAGAATATAAGGGGGTGAGGATGGTGGGGTGGGAGTGGGTTGGGGGGGTGATTCCATCTCTGCTCCTTTTATCAATGATGGTGTGAAACTGTGAATAACACGCTCTAATAATCCACACATTCACACCGTAAACAGCTTCTACTTGGCGTCTCCATTGTTGACCTCCATGTGGATCTGACGTGTCACAGTGCCGTGTGTGTGGATTGCGTGCAGTCATTGTATTGTGGTGTATTGTTTTGGTGGATAAGGCCTTTCTATTTATATGCAGTGACTGTCTGGACATCTGTCTCGGTGACGATGGAAGAACAGCAGCGGTTTATCTCCATCCTTTTTTTTGGATCTCTCCTCCTCAGCTGTCCCCTCATCAGGACCCACATCTTTATAACCACCTCAATTGTAAACCAGGGTTTTCAGGACAATGGCCTACAAAATGATGGAGAGATGGTGCAGCCCCCCCCCCCATTCCCTCATCTGTATGAAATAATTTGTTGTGGTATATTAAACAGGGCCGTCAGTACTAAGTAATTGAAGAAATGTTTATTAATGTACTGTGTGAACTGATACCAATGCTAATATGAACATTGTCTATCAATTGCATGATAACAATGGGATGCAATGGCTGTTAATATACATTATAAGGATTTATATAAGAATTAGAACAAGAATCTGGGGAAAATGCAAAAAAGAAAAACACATTTCAGAACCACCTGCAGTACCTCAGTAAACCCCATGGGAGTTATAGACCATAATTATTATGTTATAATTTATATTTTGAGGTGCCGATGACCTTTTGGGGGGGCAGGAGGGGGAGACTGCAGAAAGCTATTAGCCTAAAGATGCCATGTGTTGTAGATGCAAAAATTGAATTTAAATCAAGTTGTTAAAAAATCAATACAAAGAACAAACAAATATCAACATATTATGTTTGATTATATTACATTATTCTATACTAAGGGATGATAACGTTCTTCTAGGATTTTCAGTCATTTGAATGTAAAATCCTTAGGGTCAACTAAGGCTAATGTATTTAAAAAGATCTGTGACCTGATAACAGCATGGTGACATTTTCTACAGTTACCAATATGTTTGGCCAAAATGAAACTTCAATTACATTAAGAACTACACACACACTATGTTTGACACACGTGGCAGTACGTAGACATTTACTGAAGTGTATGTGATCACCTTAAAGACACCAGTCAACCGTAATTAAATGAATGTCGTGTTTATTTAAGATAAACCATTAGAGATCAGTGGAGGGGATGTAACCACACTGCCCTGCCCCTTGTCTTTTCTACAGATGGTTCACTTCCCACAAACGACCATACTGAGGTACAAATATTAAATGTCCAGCCCCCCCCACCCTTCTCACCCGAGTAGTCAACCTTCCTGATTTAAATGACTTCTTTATTCCTTCCTGAGTAGCGCTCCTTTTTTGCCTAGATGTTAACTCCAGCCACCCTTACCTTGCTTCTCAACTGTCTTTCCTGAGTGGAATGCCAATCCTGATCTTTTCCCTCTCCCTGTGCTTTTATCCTCACTGGAATGGTATATTCTTCCCACTTTCAAACTTTGATTCCACTCTTTTCTTTCTTTGACTATTCAAGGCAGTGTTTGTGATCTCAATGTTACTCTTCCTTTTTTTTAAAAACTCCGACCCATAATGCAATCTGTCCACTGGGGCTTTTGAATGTGTCTTTAACCTCCTGCAAAGAAACTGCTCCACTTTAAAAAGCCTCTTTTTTTAACAAGTTATGACACATTTCCAGATTGTGTGAAATCCTTCTTCTTCTAACTGGTTTAACAGTGCCCCCCCACCCTCCTCACCCCCTCACCTTTATGACTGTTGTGTAAAATCCGTGTCTTCCTATAATCTTATACTGTTTCCTGTCTTGGTCTCAGTTTCTCAGACCAGAGTTGCTTCTCTCTCGCCACCGCCCTATGTCGTCATCCTCATCTCTTGCTCGGGGCTTGTTTCCTTTATCCTGTTGCTCCTCACCTGCCTGTGCTGTAAAAGAGGAGGAGTGGGATTCAATGTAAGTCTCCAACCTGGAAGATAATATTTCTTACTCAGATTGTTCTTGATTTACCAGTTTATATTTTTTATTCCTATCTGTATAATCCTGTGATTTGACAGTTGATCAGCTGAAATGCTATTTCTATTTTTTATCATCTTTTGAACTACTGTAACTGCCAGATTTATCCGTCTCAGTAAAAACATACTTTAATCACTGTGTTTTTTCTGGACCAGGAGTTCGACAATGCAGATGGCGAGGAGTGCTCTGGAGGCTCTAGTCCCATCCAGGAAGACAGCCTGTCGTCATGCCCCTCCCTCCCTGAGGTTTACACTTTACCAGTCAGAGACAGGCCAGACTGCTCCGCCCTGCAGGATGGAGCAGGTAACACTAACAGTCCATTTGTTCTAAGGTCTTCTGAGCTGACGATAGACGGAGATATCATGGATGAATCTTTGAAACTAAGCTTGGGTTAGTTTCAAAGATTAGTTGAACATTAGTAAAATAAGGATGCTGATCAACAATGTTCTGTGTTAGTGTTCTGTGTGGACTGTGGCAGCTTTCTGCTCAGTGGTCACTAGCTATTGTGGAATAGAACGGTCTGACGCTGCATTAAATAATGAATTGGAAATTCCAAAAATTGAATTAATCATTTGGATGAAATCTCTATAATCATTTTTTCTCTTCTATCTTTCTTAAGCCACAGCACATATTTTAAATATTACATTTATAATATTATATTTAATTTTAAATCTGTCACAAAAAGAAATAAAACAATCTTCTAGTTTCAATTTACTCACAGTTTACTTGTGAAAATGCTGATTTAGTCACAGGAATTAAAGAAAGACATGTGATGAAGATCTTCATATTTTTCCTCCTTTAGTGAAAATATTTATACAGTGGTTCTTTGTCCTGTTAGAAATGATGATGTCATTTAAATCCATCAGTTTGCAGGACCTTAATCAATCTCTTGACTTTACTGTTTGCAGACTCTAAGTCTCAGTGCTTTAAGAGACATTCACTAAACTACCTTCAGGAGATTGGAAATGGTTGGTTTGGGAAAGTAAGAATTTGTTTTGGAAAATGGTCGTACATTCCAGTCAGGTTTGGTTGATTCATTGTCTAATGACTTTCCTACTCCCTCTTCGAGGTGATCCTGGCTGAGGTGCTGTGTGACTGCAGTTCTTCCCAGGCTGTGGTGAAGGAGCTCCGTGTCAGTGCTAGTCCACTGGAGCAGAGGAAGTTCTTGGCTGAGTCAGAGCCATACAGGTCAGGGTCAAGTGTTAGAGTCGTTTAATGACATCATCACATTGACAGAGGAGGAACTATACAGACACACATCCAGCAACCACCATTCATTACCTTTGTAGCTTCTGCTAATGGGAGAACACAGTTGTCAGTGGTTCTATCAGATGTTCTATCAACTCCAGTCAGATGTTGTCAATGTGCAAACAAAGAGAAGGCAGTCGATCTGATCAAGATACTCAAGCTATTTGATTCAGACAGACAGACAGAGCCAAGTGCCTTCCAATTACACACACACACACAAACAGGCTGAGGTAGCTTCAAAGGCAGGACAAGTATTTATTGTCTCTGCACAAGCACAAATGGATCATCTCCTTCACACCTCCAGTCTGTTGACGCATCTGTCTTGTCAATAACTGTAACTGTACACTCATCAAACTGTCAATCACTCCCTGTGTTGTCTATCTGTCTACAGGAGCCTCAAACATCCCAACATCCTTCAGTGTTTGGGCACATGCAGTGAAAGCATCCCTGTCCTTCTGGTGATGGAGTTCTGTCAACTGGTAAATATTCAGTCCTTGATATATTATGTACTACAGTGGAAATAAACACATGTACAACAAAACAAGAGGTACTTTGATACACCTTTCTGTTTGCAGTGACTCAAATCCAGTGAAACCATTATGTTTTTTTATTGGTTTTAACCACAGACCCTGTACCCTCCCACATTCATAATATTCTTCTAAATGCTTGAACCCTATTCCATTTACGTGGTTACTGTTCATCTTGATGCTGGCAGTAGAACATGATACTAAATACAGTTCAATACAGTTCATTTGTCTTCAGTCACTCACAGTTCATTTGACAATTGTGTCAGTCAGTATGACGAAAGACAGATGCATTTATAGCAATTATTTCATGTCATCCAGTAAGTCTGAAGGTTTTGTCTCGGTCGTCAGACATGCTGGCATGAAAACATTTTTACTGAAGATTTAATCATGTCTTTTACTGCAAACTGTCCTGATGTACAACTAGGGTGACCTGAAACGATATCTGCGAGCCCAGCGCAAGTCAGACGGGATGACTCCAGACTTGCCAACCCGAGATCTGTTTAGTCTTCAGAGAATGGCTTTTGAGATCACATCAGGCCTGCTGCATCTCCATGAAAACAACTACATCCACAGGTCATTCATCCTCACTGCTGTGGAGTCCATGCAGCGTACATAACAGAAGTCAATAAATGTTCTTATATTGATGTTAAAATCAGGTTTTCTCAGTGTTGGTGTTTTTGTTTCGTCATTACAGTGATCTGGCTTTAAGAAATTGCCTCCTGACCTCCGACCTCACTGTGAGGATAGGTGACTATGGCCTTTCACACAACCATTATAAGGTACGCAAGGACGTGATTATGAACTAGTATTTCTCTCACCTATTAGCAGTGAAGCAAAGTTAAGCAGATTATTATGGTATGTTTGTGCAGGAGGACTATTACCTAACTCCCGACAAGCTGTGGATCCCACTGCGCTGGATCGCTCCGGAGCTGTTGGAGGAATACAGAGGATCCCTCATTGTTACAGATCAGACTAAAACCAGTAATGTTTGGTATGTCGCTGCAGTTACAAACCCACATGAGATACTGAGTAACCATAACGGCCTTTTGGTTAGCATTTACTAATGTGTAATGAAGTGGATGTCAATGTTACACAGGTGGGACTCAAAGCTCTGTGAGTAGTGGAGTGATGTGCAGTTTGTAGGTTTAACCCACACCACAGTGAGGTTAGCATGTTTACAACACAAACAATATTTCTGTACTGAACAAAAAGTCTTTAAACTGACATCACATTAGACAACAATATCAATAAAATTAAACGTTGTCAGTAGTTTTAACACAGTCAAACGAACTGAACAGAAAGTGCAGAGCTTTTTCACCAACAGGACATTTTTAACTGAGCAAGTTCTGACTAATACTGTGTAGAACTACGTATATACATACAGAAGAAATGCAGTTCTGTCTCCTGCCTTTTCCCTGATGTTACAATCCCTCTAAACTGCAATAACCTGGTAAGATTATTTGAAAGATCCAGTGTTGGTGTACACTACTAATCCATATGACATGAGGCAAAAACCTGAGCGATAGCACACTAGAACCAACCCACAGGTACAGGTGTCACAGACACAGGTCAGTCAGTCAGTCAGTCAGGACAGTCAGGACAGCTGGAGCAGCTCTGCTTTGATTCTGGTGTTATCGTTCTGGTCCCTTTGTGCTCTTCCTTTTCACTTCCAGTTTTCCTTGTGCCTGTGAACTTTATAATAACAACAGAGCAGTTTTACACAGCAATTGACCTGAGCACCCCCCCGCCCCCCTGACACCCACATTGATACATGGGCTCCTAAAAAGTATGAACTGTCACCCAATGGCCCAGAACCAAATCTTGTGCTTCTTTACCTGATGTTAGCATTTTTAGCTTTGTCTCCTTAAAATTCTTTGTACAAATGTTGTCCATCCATAGAAATGAGGTGCTTTTTGTCTGTTGTAGTGTGCTGCTGTGTTTACTTTGTTAGTCAGGTTTTCCTTGAAAAACCTTTTGAAAAACCTTCCCATGAGACCTGGTTGACTAAAGGAATAATAGATAGAAAATATTTACAGACAGTCAGCAGCCTGTGTGCTACACTGAGTCTGAGGTCGTGGTTTTCCAACGTTTTCTTCACTAGATATTGTCTTGGAGGTGTTTAAAATTGAGTTTCTCCAACTGTTCTTTTTTCTTTTCTAGGTCTTTGGGGGTGGTGATCTGGGAGCTTTTGGAATTTGGCTCTCAGCCTCACAGACACCTGAGTGATGAGGAGGTCCTGACCTTTGTTATTAGGGAGAGACAAATAACATTGGCCCAACCCAGACTCAAACTGTCCCATGCAGACTACTGGTCAGTACTTACACATTTACTGCAAATACCAATAGAAAAAATCCTACAGTGGCCCCTCAGTGTACTTTCCTTACATCTCCAGGTATGAGATCATGCAGTCCTGCTGGCTACCTCCGTCTCAACGTCCGTCTGTAGCTGAGGTTTTCCTTCTCCTCTCTTCTCTGCTGGCTGCTGAGCAAGGCATGGCCAGGGGGGGTGTTGGGGAAGAAGACGGAGAGGACGATGAGTATGAGGAGGGCAGAGGGAGAAGAGCTGACGTTGATGAATCATTTGAACGGCGTTGGGACTTACTGCGTCCACCTGCATTCCAGGCTGCAGCGAATGAGCGACGAAGGGAGAGAGACTATAGCAGGGAAGATCGAGACAACTCCTACCCCATACTGGACCCAGTGGGGAACTGTATTACCCCAACCTCGTCAGAACTAGATGACATCCTGACAGTTACTGAAACTAGCAAAGGATTGAACTTTGAATATTTTTGGGAAAAGGCTCATGCAAGGCGAGGCTACAAACCTCTGCCTCCTCCCCAGCCAATCCCCACTGTGCATAATAACCACAGACAGTCTTTAGACACACCCACTGTGGTCCCAGTTATAAGTGCTCACAGTCCTTCCCTCGCAAGTGAGTATTACATTAGATTAGAGGAGCACACTCCCCAGGACAAGTCGCCAACTCTTAAAGGGAAGGTCCATTTGTCTCGTCATGGCACTGTCTGTCCTGGAGACATGGAGCTGGTGGAGATCCGCAGTGGAATGCTAGGTAAAGAGCGCATGTCTTATAGTTCCACTGACAAGTGTGGAAAAGACCTCCAGACTGTCAGAACTAGTGAAGTTCAACTCCAGGTGCCACAAACAGGCGTTACAGAGTTCGGAGACAACTCATACCGAGTGACAGACTTTTCTGTCGTGGATTTGGGGGATGACGAGGAGGTGCAGAAGAAGAGCAGTGATGAAGATAAAAAAACCATAACCGTCAAAGGTTCAAAGGACACACGTCCTATCAAGCCTCGTTCTATGTCCATGTCATCAGCCAACCCTCTTCACGCCCGCCCCCTCCCTGTTCCTCCACTTGGATACAGAGGTCTGCCTCACTACACGATGATTGGAAAAATCCAAACAGACCCCATTCACTCAAACAGCTGCCTCCCTTCTACCTTTGATCACCTGGGGCTCAGTCGCTCTCGACAGACTCTACCACCATCCCCTTCCCTCTCGCCATCCCTTCCCCCTTCGAGCCATCCAATTTACCCTAAGCCTCCTCAGATGTATCCCCCAGCCATGCCTCCCCACTCACAACAGCAAAGGAATAGCTCAAGTTACAACACGATTGACTTGTTAAGATACAGTAAACCACAGACCCAGAGATTGAACAGAGAGACCCTGTCCTGTGACCCTTCAGACAGACATACACCACCTCTATTCGCCTCCAAGGAGATTTTTCATACGCACACAAAAACATTTGACTTTCCAGTTCGTCGAGAAAACCCTTTGCGCCCCATTTATCGGAGTCTCCCCAGACCTCAGGCCACAAACATCCAGACTGATCGGCAGTCTTCATCTAGCCCGACTTATTCAGATGAGGATGACTCTCCTTTCATGTCTCCTGTAACTGGTGGGACTACTGTTGCTCACTCTAGCTTGTCAGAAGATGCAGACCCAGCAGCTGCTGAGCTCTTTTCCAGGGGAATGAAAAGGACTCAGTCACGCCTTGACACCATCTTGCCTCAGATTTGGAAGGAAGATGCTGAACTCCAGAGAGAAAATGTAGCAGCCGCCAAAAAGTCCCCAATGCATCTGTTTTTGACAGAGATTTCTTCTGTCACAGAGTTAAGTGAGTCTGAGGTTGAAGCATCCTGGGATGGGGAAGAAGGAGAGGGGGAAAAATGGGAAAACTTTGTGCTCCCTAACAAACGTATGCGCCGTTCCCGGTCGCTGATTACAGAACTGGGCTCAGTTGGGAAAACGTGGGGGGCAGAGGTTAATGTCAATAGGACAGGGAATAAAGATAATTGTAATATCACAAAAGAATTATTTCAAAAGGAACTGTTTCTCACTGAGGTTGACACGGTGAGAATAAATGAGCAGGAAGGAACAGAACGTGACCCAGTAAAATACCTCTATCCTGCAGGTTCTAGACCTGTTCGATCTTCATCCACTGAGACAGAGGAGGCTTCCTCAAAGGGCATACGCAGGTCTCGCTCTCTGCTCAATGAGATCGTCATCAACAGCAAGAACTCTGAAACTGAGCAGACTGAGATGGAGGCACACAGAAATGAAATGACAAGGGAAGAGTTCCTGAAGGAAATCCATTCAGCAGAGACATTTTTGACAGAATTAATATCAAGACAAAAAACTGCTGAAAACAGGAAGAAAACAAAGTCCACTTACTCTCCTACTCCACTATCACCTGAGTATGAGTCTGTATGCATCGACCCAGACTCCACTCAAACCATCACATTTGAGTCGGAAAGCTCCATACGAGCATCCAACAAAGGCAAGGAAGATTCACAAATTGAGGCCATATATGCCCAAGTCACTAAGCGTGCTAAAAAGTGTGAGGATAAGGTTTCTGTCCAACCTGAGGACTCTGGTCTTCACAGAGGAACACATTTAAAAGTGGGAAACCAGGAAAACAGTGCCAATCACTGCCAGTCTGAGGAATTGGTGTTTTCAGAAATAATGCCCAAAAAGGGTTTACTGCACAATCAATTAGTTGTCTGTCAGAGAGAGAAGGAGGAGGAGGAGGAAGAGGAGTGTGCAGATGGACCTGCCTTACCTGCCCGAGGAGAGCACCTTTCTGAGGACTCCCCTAGTGAGACGGTTCTACACCCCAACACTGTGATACAGCGTGACAACCAATCACTTTTTACAGATGAAGAACATTCACTAAAGGCTGCGTTTGTGTGTACTACCTTGATCATGAAAGACCACGACAGACTGCAGAGCACAAGTCATGAGAAAGAAGATCATATTTCTGGCAATAAAATGTTGTTTAATGAGACTGATAATGATTCTTCATTCATGGCACAGGCTGATGTCAGGAACACTGACGATACTGAAAAAAGTTTGGTGAAGTCAACTGTAGAAAATGTAATCCAATACAAAGAACTACACTGTTACCGTACTCCAAAAGAATCATCATCTAGTGCTGCCACTTCAACCACCTCAGACTGGGACCCACCCACTGACGCCTCACCCATCACACCCACCGATTCTGTGTTGTCACCCATGACTTACAGTTCAGCTGGTTGCCTCACCCCTAGTGACTCATGGACAGGTGTGGGAGGAGGGGGGAGTAGTGGGTTTCGAGCACTTGGAAATGAAACACCACACAGAGACTCTGCTTATTTCTCTGACAGCGATTGGGAAGGTGAAGGGGCGAACAGGAGGAGCACTGATGGAGCGTCTGCATCCAGGCCAAACAATGGCCGTGGATGTCTGACTGGAATTGAGGAAAAAACTGAGGAGGAAGGAGAGGAGAAGGCCCTTCAACAAAATGATATTCACACAATAGATAGAGCAGGTGAAACAGATGTGACTAAAACTGTGGACATATATCAACACGTTTCAGAGCAGGATTTTCTTTATTCAGGTGACGACAAAAACAAAAGGCTTGGGCTCATTTTCCATAATGAAAACAAAAAGTCACAGCTGCTGTGTGAGGATCAAGGGACTGTGGGCTTTGTTGACACATTGCTCTCCAAACTAGGTGATGATCAACTTAAAGAGCAGCCACACAATGCTGGTTATCTATTAGACAGACACGACAGTGATGGCATTATCTCCCAGCGAAACCAGGACTCTGCACACACTGAATTCAAACTTCATTCCAAGAGCCTTCCTGGAACAGATACCCTGATAGATTCTTTATTTGGCTGTTACTCAGACAGTTGTGGAATTCAACCCAGTGTGAACGATGACTCCAGTGTCACACAGATATATATTGATGCCCTGGCACAGGATTCCTCAAATAATATAATTGACACTTTGGAAACAAAAACTGAAGTTGAAAATGATCCGTCACGAATACCAGGAGTGAGCAGTATTCCAAACAGCAATGTCCTGCTTACAGATAAAACACCTTTTATCGTTGCACTGTTGAAAGATGAAGTGTGTGGACTGAATGAGGTGACGGCTCAGTCTGCTGTCCACCACACTGAGCTGGGTCTAAGAAACCTGTGCAGCTCAGATGACAGTGAAGACAAGATCACAACAGAAACAGAGAAACAGCTGGTCGCCACAGAGATGGGGAATGCAGTGAAGGAAAAGTCACCTCTGAAAAGGTCAGAGGTCAACAGTGTTGATATGGATTCCTCTGAGGAGCTGGATGTGAAAAACAGTGAAATAGGAAGCACACAGATGAAGGGTGAAGATGGACCAGGAGATAATGTGGTTAGTGGAGAGTTTGACTGCCATCGTTTTTCCCAATCACAGGATATGTTGTTGTTGTTGTGGGCTGATGAAAATGACCAATGGGCTTCTCCAGAGAAAAGGTGCCAAGACTCAGCACTCGGCTCTGAGTTTTTCTCTTGTGCCAATAATAAGATATGGGAGGGAATGGCAGTGGGTAAGGCATTTTGGGGGATTGGAGAAAATGATGAACTGGCAGGAAGTGAACCTCACCCTGCTGTGTTGGACTTTAGTGAGGAGATGTTGGATAATGAAACACAAGGACAAAGTGATAATCTCAG